GTTATGTGTTTTGAAATTCAAATTTGGACCAAGTTTCGAAAACCCTATTCCCAATTCTTCTGTTTTTGAAAATCCCCAATTCCCAGACCTTATTCTCTCTACTTAAGGTTCTCTAAGGCTCTCTGCAAATTAACAAACCTTTTTCATACAAAAGTTAAGAGCTGTGACTGCTAGAGAACTTTTTGTAGGGAAGAAAAAGGGGCTTTTGAAACCTAGTATGGGCTAGAAGCGATAAGAATCACTGAGTGGGTTTCTTGGTAGATTGTGTGTTGTGTCGTCTCTAGGGAAAACTGTTCTTCATCCTTTGTGGATTCAAAGGAGGTGTTCATCTCTTGTGTGACTCAACAGAGGTGTTTTCTTTACCTTATCTTTTCAATTTGTAATTTGTTTGTAAACTGTGATTATAGTGACAGGGTTAATCCTCTTTTTAAGTGATTAGCAACTGGACGTAGGGTCTTTTGATCCGAACCAGTATAAATCAACTGTGTAATCCTCTATCCCTTATCTATTTACTTTACACAACATTTTAATCGGTGAAATTTGGAAAAAATTTTAAAACCCTAATTTTTGTTTAAGAAACCAATTCACCCCCCCCCCCCCTCTTGGTTTTTGTCTGTAAACGCAAACATTCCACTGTACGATTCTAACATAGCAGTTATCCATAAGCTCGTTATACACCAAATGGATGTGAAGACAACCTTTTTGAATGGTGAATTAGACGAGGAAATTTACATGACTCAACATGGAGGGTGTGTTGTTCATGGTCAAGAGAACAAAGTGTGCAAACTTATAAAATCTTTGTAAGGATTAAAGCAGACACCAAAATAGTGGCATTGATAACTTTATAGTATTCTACTTTGTGATGATTTTTAGACTAATGATGTGATAAATATGTGGACTCTAAATTTTAAAGTGGTGAATATGTCATTATATGTTTATATGTGGATGACATGCTAATATTTGGTACATGCATTGATATTATCTTTAGAACTAAGTTGTTTTTAGGATCTAAATTTGAAATGAAAGACATGGGTGAAACCAATGTTTTGGGAGTTAGAATCGTAAGGAATGGAGATAGTATTTTACTATCTCAAGAATAATACATTGAGAAACTTCTTCTTAGGATGTTTGGGCATCATGACTTTAAACCAGTGAATACCTCCTATGACACTAACTCTAAGTTAAAGAAAAACAGAGGAGACTTAATCTCTCAATCTCAGTATTGCCCAAATATTTGAAAACTTACTGCATTTAATAAGTTTTTCTAGACTTGACAATGCTTATACAGTAGGTAGATTGAATAGGTACACTCAATGTCCTAGATTTTCTGTTGAATACAGTGGATTTCCTGTTGTACTAGAAGGGTACGATGATGTTAATTGGATCTCTGATTCAGATGAGATAAAATCCACAAGTGATTAAGTATTCACACTCGGAGATGGTGCGATTACATGAAGATTAGTCAGGTAAACGATTATTGCAAGATCAACAATTATTTGTGTTTTTGTCATCTTTTCAACAAAAATTAGAAAAAATTAGTTTGTATTATCGAAGATTTAATGTATTTGGCTTATTAGATTTACGGGAGGAACCATTAAATTTAAGTCGACTCATGGAAATGAATTTTTTATTAGCAAATTAGTAATTAAATAATAAAATAAGGGCATACAAACCTTAAAAATACTTAATATTAGGATAAATAACGGAATGATTTACCTTAACAAAATTATTATATTCTTGTTATTATTATAATATTGAAAGTAAAAGATGTCATAGATTAAATATTATCTTCTATGTATTTATAAAATGATTTATTGATAACCAATTTATAAAATTTTCAAGACGTTGATAAACAATAAAATTATATGTTAAATTACATGACGGTATTTTAGACGAGATGTTAGTGTTACTATAATTTTTTTTAATTTATTATCTCTCATTTATAAATTTAATATGAGAGTATATAAGTGTATATGAATGAGACAATGTTTATTTTATCTTATAAAGAAGATTTTCATCATCCTTTATTTTTTATAACAAATAATAAATTTATTTATAAAATAGCTAAGTAATAATATTTTCTACATTATTTATTTTTATAAGTAATCAAAGTTATTGTTAATACTAAATATTATTTAATATTTGAAAAGATTGATTTTTTTAATTGAATACATGCACATGTATTTATTAACTTATTTATTATAATAATAATAGAATTTATATATATACATACATATATATATATATATATATATATATATATATATATATATATATAAAAACATTAGAGAGCTAAAGAATGGACAAATTATTAAAGGAAATGAAACTACACTTGTATATTATTAAACTAATTTTACACATATTTAAGTATTTTTTCTATTTTATTTAAAGTAACTAATAAGAATACGACACGATTTATAATTACTTAATAATTTTGAGGATAGATATAACAAAATTCAAAATTTTCACCAAATAATTCATCTTAATAATATCCAATATACAAATAAAAACTATATCCAATAAATTTCTGAAATAAAATCTACACAGTTATACGAGCTTCAATTATATATATATATATATATATATATATATATATATATATATATATATATATATATATATATATATATATATATAACTAATTTAAATTCACTAGTGCAAAAAAGACTTTTTACGTCAGGTATTTTGGGTTTTTTACATCGTATTTAAGACTGACGTTAAAACGGGAGACGTAAATTTACGTCGGACCTTAGCTTGACGTAAATTCACGTCAGTTATCCAGACCCGACGTTAATTTACGTTGCATTTACACTAAACAGACGTAAAAAGTATCAAAAATTAAAAAATTTGGAGCAAATTTACGTCACATATTGTTATACGCGACGTAAATTTACGTCGCGTATACCAATATGCGACGTAAATTTGCTCATTTTAAAAAAAAAATTGGGTTTATTTTGTCTTACAACCAAAACCTGCAAATATATATTATAACCAAACAATCCAGAGGTTGAAGTTTCTTTAGTTATGTAATTAAAAAATATAATATTATATATAATTCAAACTACATAATAAAACAATATAATACAAACAATAACCTACAAACTAAAATCTATTACAAACTAAAAGTTAATACAAACTAAAAGTTAGTACAAACTAAAAGTTAGTACAAACTAAAAGTTAATACAAACTAAAAGTTAGTACAAACTAAGCTACCTAAACTACATAATACACACAATATAATATAAACAATAACCTAAAAAATTAAGTACTACAATTGTTGAACAAAAAATCTTGTCCATTATTCTCTAATTTGTGTGATATAATATTCTGGCAATGGAGATGGATCTTTAAATACCTGAAACATTAATTTGACTCTTGTAAACATGCAACACACATAAAGTTAAATAAACTTAACTAATGATGAAAGCAATTACCTCCGTCCAAGAATCAGTTATACCCGCACAAATTATGACTCTCATCCAATACATAACATAGTAACCACATTCAAATGAGTCTGTTTGTTTATTACACTGAAATGATGAATAAAATATAATGTTATTTTCAAAATTTAAATACAAACAATAATTATGGTATTCACTTATTATAATAAGTTTCTAACCTTAGGATAAATGAACTGCAAAGTTTTTGATATGGGTTTTCCACTTAGAACATTAGTTATAGACACGATTCTAAATGAAAAAAGTCATATATTATTCAATACCTTTTCCATTTTCACTAGCAAATTTCAAAAATTCATCAACTCCCTTTTTGTACTCTTCACTAATACAACGATATTCATCCAACTTCGATTCATATTATGTTATAAAGTTTCGTCACTCTTAGAGATTCAAAATTTATATTTAAAAATAAATTAATATACAAACAACAAAGCACGTATATGGAGTGTGTAAACAAAAAATGCACTCAAACCAAATAATGACATTCCAATAACAATCCAGTGGAGACATTCATACAATGACGTGATTGAGATCCCCAAAAACAATCACGGATTCAATTTGAACATATATCAGGAGACATAGAACACTAACCTCAAGTAAACACGAAAACGATTTCAAACTCGAATCCAATCGGGGAGAAATGTCAAATTCGTAAAATGAGACACAATATTGATGTTCTTCACTGCCAAAATGATAAAAAATGGTGTGGAAAGATAGTTATCGTCGTCGTTCTCATTATCGTTCTAAAAAACCCTTGCGACGCGAGATGCGGGAGTGGGTCTGTAAGAGAATAAAAAGAACTTTTTACGTCGCACACCCTAGCACGTGACGTAAAAAGCCTCTTTTACGTCGCGTGGGGTGTGCGCGACGTAAAAAGTATCACTTTTTACGTCGCGCACCCCATGTGACGTAAAAAGTGATGAATTATTAATATGTTAGTTTTTTTTGTCAGCAATAATATTTAAATCCACTATCTATATTACCATCACCTAGCAAATAACTCCTTCTTTGGCAAAGCGTAAATTATTAATTTACGTTAAATTTTACGTTAAGCTGCTTTTTATGTGTATGATTCGTTTCAAAGTGTGCTTTAATACTAAAATAATAATAACAAAATAAATTTAAATTTTTATTTAATGTTTTTAAAATGTAAAGATAACACAACTACACATCTGAATTTTAAAATCTTCAACGAAAAACATCCGAACTATGTGGACCTTCCTTAACAATTTGGAATAAATTATAATGACACTTATGTGAACCTTTTAGACCAATTTTTTTAAACATATTTTCCTTTTTTATTTTAAAAAGATTAAATTGTTAATGGTTTCAATTGTATCTCCTAAACTTTAAAATAATTATACTCATAAGAGGAAAAAAAATTATAAAATCTTTAAACACAATTATAATCAAAGAGAAAATGTTATAAATATATAAAAAATAGGGTAATTTGAATGACAATAATCATAGCATAACTTGATGATTAATGATGATATTTAGAAGATATATAAAACATAATTATTACCATAACATATATAAGATCTAATCACTGTCACTGCTGCTACTGTGACCATGGTGATGTTTCTCATGTCCATGGTCATGCTTCTTCTTGTCCTTCTTCTTTTTCTTTTTTTCACTTTTGTCATCCTTATCATGCTCATCACCATGGAACTTGTCCTTCATCTTGTCCATAAACCCCTCTTCCTTATGCTCCACTTTGTGTTCCCCTTTGTGTTCACCATGGAACTTGTCCTTCATCTTGTCCATAAACCCCTCTTTGTGCTCTCCTTTGTGTTCACCATGGTACTCCCCTTTGTGTTCACCATGGTGCTGCCCTTTGATCTCCCCATGGTGTTCGCCCTTGTGCCCCTCATCTTTCTTGTGCCCTCCCAGGGTATCCTCAATCTTGTGGATGATCCCAGACATGGTTTCTTTCTCACTCTTTCTTTGGGCCTTTGGCTTCGGTTTGTTTTTTATGTGAGAAATGGGAGCATGTGAAACAGGCTATTAATAAGCCTAGAAGTGAGGATTACGTCGCAATATTATATCGTTTTGTCTGAAATTACGGAAATGACTGTGTGCGTGTCCGTCAACGTGGTCTATTAACTAGGGGATTTTTTTTTTTTTTTTTTTTAAGAAATAGTTAAAGAAAACTAAATGGTATTTATCTTGGTGGAAGTCTTTGTGCTCACTGCGTGACACGTAAACGGGTGAAATGGTATTTTGGCAGGATACGAATTTTTAATGCTACTCGATAGTTTTTTTATTCAACTTTCCAAGCCGCGGGTAGGCTTCCCATTAGGATGGCAAAAGAACGTTTGACTCATTGTGTCTATGTCAAAAATTGAGTCCTTAGGCTGTAAAATTTTAGTTAGTTTTTAATATGTAAAAAATAAAGTGAAATGGGTTATTATGTTATAGTTAAGAAAAATATTATTATAATAATAACTATTAATAACGGTAAAATTTGGTTTAGTACATTGGTTAAGGATTCGTCATTGTTAAAATTTGGTCTACATTGGTTAAAGACCCATCCACGGTTCATTATATATATGATATATAATAACGGTTAATTATAAATACTGGTTGTTGTAATGATGGTTAATTATATATACATGTTGTTGCATGTTACGGTAGGTATTTGTAATTAACCGTTGTTGTAACATACAACAACAATATTTATTGACATATCCATTGTTGAAATTTACATCAGGCATGCATATTAAGATGAATACAGTATTAACCGTTGTTGTATATTGGTCTTATTTCTTTTTAAAGTGAAATATAGTTTAGGTTTTTTCCCATTTCTTGCGTATTCAAATATACAAAATCCAGTTGTTTCTGGTGGAATTTCGATCAATTTCGATTCTAAACAGTGTTATGGTCCTAATCGAAATCCTCCCACGTAAGTTCTTTTTACTTAGGCTAGCAGTCTGACTTTCAATCGAAAACGTGTATAAGGATCGAAAATCACAAGATATCAAGAAAGCTGTTTTTGGTATTTTGTATTTAAAGTACTGAAAGCAGTAAAGTATCGAATCGAGAAACAGAACATTAAATTGCAAGAAAATATAAAGTGCGAAAACCCCAAATTTGCATTAATTGTAAATGACGAAGAATCGAAAATAGTGCAAATATAAATGGCAGAAAATCGGAATGTGCAGGAAATGTAAATGACAATAAATCGAAAATACAGAAACTTAAACCTGCATTGAATTGAAATGACTAAGAATAGAGAGTACAGAAACATAAAATTGCTGAAACATAAATTACCAAGGAAAATAATTGTAAATGACAAGAAATCGAAAACAGCGCAAATGTAAATGACAGAAAATCGAGCTTGCAAGAAAAATAAATGACAGGAAATCGAGATTTGCAGAATGTTAACAAGAAATCATAAATACAGAAATTCAAACTTTCATTGAATTGAAATGGCAATGAATCGAAAATACAGAAACATAAAATGCTGAATTTAAATTGCATCAAAGTAAATTACCAAGGAAGATACAGAAAACGGTAAATGTACTCAGTGAGCAGAGAAATCCAGATTACTAGAAACTTCATGGTGTTCGTCGTTTCTCCGGTAGACTTTTCACTACTGATTCTGTTCTCTGCCAATTTCTGCCCCCCCTGTTCCTTCCTCCTCTGCACTATTTATAGGGCATCATTCAAGCCTTCCAGGAGCAGTTAACAAAACTGCTACCACGTTCTTCGTGCGCGTTGCAGTTTCTTCTTCTGTGGTGTCAAAACTGTATCCACGTTCCCATGATCTTTAACTTCTGCCACGATTTAGAAACTGTTTCCTATATGCGTGTTTAACTCCTCTTGGTCACGATTTTGATTTTATGTGGGTTAACCTCTTTTTCGATTTAGACTTCGATTTTATCGAGAACTTTGGATTTACTTTTGATCCCTTTTTTACCTTAGCATCATATACTTCTAATTTCTTGATTTGTTCCACAATAAACTTTTGACTATTGTTTCTCCAATTCTCGATTGTACTTCCTGATGTTGTGTTACGTGCTTTAGACATCGAATGGTTTTTTATCAGTCACGTGTTCTCTCTTTCCTTTCCTTCATTTTCGATCGTTTTTCTCGATTTTCTACTAACAAAATGCCCCCTTGGAAGAATATAAATGATTTCTGTTTTATATTCTTTCAATATTCCCGCCTTAGTGTTTGAAAGCCCACAAGATTTAGGGTTTAGGGTTTCTGGGGTTCTAGGGTTAAAAAGGGGTTTTAGGTTTCTTTTCCACTTTACGTCGCCGTCTCGTCAGTCTGTTGCCTTTCAGTACAAGTTACATTAATTACCTTTCCCTTCCGTCGCTTCCAACTCCCTAGACGATTTCCCTTTAACCTTTCCTTGGTCTTTACTCTGGTCTTTACGCGAACTATCACCCTCTTTGCAATCTCATCTTCTCCTTCGAGCTCCTGCCTTCGTCCCTGTTACCTCATCCAGTTAACTCTTCCCTTTCGTTTTCCTAAGCTCACTACAATGGCCACTTCATCCAAGTCCTCCGATTTCTCGACTCCCCCTCTTACCTCATCCGTTGCTACCTTGCTTGGAGATTAACAACCAGACGGTTGCTCCCCGCCTACGATGGAGGAAGCTTCCAAAAAGATTGCTTGAAACGCAGGTATTAGTTCCTTATACTGTTGAGGGGGTTGGTTTTGCTTTTGGGGGCCCCATTCTTTCTGGTAGTGGAACTGTTTCTCCCCTCACCCTCTCAAACAGCCCTGCTCTTGTACATCAGCCTGAAGTTAGAATCGATTTTCTGAACCTTGTTTCTAAGGTGTATCGGACAGGCCCTCCCTCCAAAAAACCTTTGTTCACTAGATGGTTTGATAGGATCAAGGCTAAATTCGGGAACCATTGGAGGAACGTGGGGATTTTCGATTTTTTACACTTGTCTCAATGTGACTTGTCCTACTTAGAGATGGCTATGTTTTTGGCTGCCGTGCAATTGTGGAATAAGGAAATACATGCATTGAAATTACCTTGCGGCCCTCTCTCACCTACTCTTTTCGATGTCGCAGCCATCACTGGGTTAAAACCTATAGGGGAGAGATACTTTCAGGGTGCATATCCCTCGGATAATTCGCTGAAGTCCAAAATTGATTGGGAATCGAAGGCCTACGGGCATTTTATTGAGAAACATTTTGTTGATGACCCCTCGATAGCTGTTACTGATGAAGAACATGTAGCATTTTTGGTGTATTGGCTGTGCACCCATGTATTTTGCCCCCGATCGATCCAAATTTCCCCCCATCTATTCAACCTTGCGTATCTCCTTCACTTAGGTCAACCAAGTCTATGTTTGGCCAAATTTTTGTTAGCGCATGTATATACTGCTTTCGACGAGGCTGTCGAAATTTTGAGTACTCCTAAAGCATCGGGGAATTTTTCTGGCCCCGTTTGGCTTATACAGTTATGGTTAACTTCAATTTTTGAGAGCGTCCTTCCTCGATTTTCTATTGTTCCCCCGAGTGTAAATATAGAAGGGGCCCGATTATCCTCTCGCCATCCTCGCCATAAGTCTGACGAAACTACCTATTGTAAATACCTTCACTTTTTGCTAACTAGATTCGATTTCGATTCAACCTTGGCCCCTTTTACCGTAAATCTTGGACGAACAAGTGGCCAACTTAGGGGGCCTATTTGGTTTAAGTCAAAGTTTCCTGCTTCAACTCCTGGGTTGCAATTAGAATTGGTCGATATATGGAGTAACTACTTAACCCAGGATATACTAGTATCGGGCTTTCACCCCAAGGATTTCAAGTTTACTACTTACTACCCTCAACTTTTTTCAAGACAGTTTGGCCTGAGCCAGTCTTTACCCTTTTTCCCTTTAAATACCTTCCCCAAATCCAAATTGACTGAATCGAACATCGGCCGAGAGCTTGCCAAATTTTTGCCAAGAACCTCGATGCATCTTTACCCATATGTATTTGAATCGAATTACTTATCGACTGTGGAATTTTCTCAATGGTGGACCAATTGGTTTTCGAGTAATCGTGCTGTTTTTGACGAGGTTCGACAGAAACTGACTGCTCGTCCTTCTCTTGTGTTGCAGGACAAATCGAAGGCGAAGAAAGGTAAACACTCCCACTATCTCCAAATAACTCGATTCGAACATTTTTATCAAATATGTTACAACCCACTGAGATTAGAATCTACCTTTTATGACGCTGTCATTTCCCTTTCTCACAAGACCACCATTAATCGAACAGATCACAAAATAATCAATCCCTTAGGAAAGACCCTTTTTGAAATGTACTGTCCCAATCGCCTTCCTACTTTTCCTAATGCTCCCTTTGGAGTTGCCAAACCTTTAACACACCCTAAATGGTTTCGAGAACTGAGAACTTCGAAAGAAACATTACGTCCCAAACCCAAAAACAAAGACATTACTGTATCGAGACTATTTTATTTCCCTTACCTTAACCTCCCTGAAGCTCTCCTGCCTCCTTGGCTAGTACATATCGATCGAGTCAAAATTTTGACTCCATCACCTTTTGGTGAGGTTTTATTGTTTTTTCTTAATTTTCAATTCTGTGTTTTGGAAACTGACTATCTTCATTCCTCGACAGTTTCAAAATCTACTAAGGTGGTCGCCTTCGAGAAGGCGCAAGAGAAAGAAAAAGAAGCAAGCTGGGAGTCCCCAGATGAGTCGGACCCTCTGGCCTTTACTAGGAAGCGAAAACAATCGGCCATCACCACCACTTCGTCTTCGAAAAAATCGAAGGTACTTTTTGATCTCTTTTTGTCTCATTCATTTTTTTGTTTATAACATGTTTCCTTATGGATTTTCATATCTCTTTTCGATTTCTACCCTACAGAAAAAATCGAAGAGTCCACGACCAGTCCAACCATCCACAGCAGATCCATTATCAATGGATTCGAACACCGTTCCTTCCACGGGTCA